GAGGGACGGCCTGGTGAGAGGGACGGCCTGTATAGTTCGCTAGCAAATCATGGGAGCCTGGTCTACCCTCTTCATTTTGTTTTTCGCGCCGAGTAGCGTTTGGGAGTCGATGACATAGCGCCGAGTCAGCGACGGCAAGCGTGGATGTAGCTTCGATTAGCGTCGATCTAGCGTCGACCAGCGTCGATTCGCAAGAGCTGACGAGATGGTGTGGGAGGCCCCCGTGACTTGCCACAGAAGTATAGCCCCGTCGTAGGACGGGGCGCAAGTGACCCTGCGAGGCACGCGCAAAGATCCAGCCGACGGACTAAAACGAGGAGAAAAAGACACTCGGGGGCTCCGCGGTCCCGCGGAGCCCTCAGACACCGATGGACTGCACCGGGAGGGGTTGGGAAGGGGCTGGCGTCGACCCCGGGGGGTACAACCTCCTCCCCTCACGTGGACGATCCCCCTAACGTAACCCGGACCGCGGTGACACCGAGCCCGGCCCGCGCGGAATGGGCGTGACAGCTGCATTCTGGCGACACGCTTGTCTCGGAATGATGCTCCTGCTTGTGCGTGGGCCACATCTCTGATTAAGAATGTTGTTGCCGTCTAGGCGCCAGCGACATCATTCATTGAGCGCGCTGTTTTTGCTTGATGTGCGTGGGCCACATCTCTAATTGAAAATGTGGCTTCTGCCTAGGCGCCAGCGACTTCCTTTATTGAGAATGGCGCAAGCCACATGTCTGATTGAAAGTGCTGCTGTCGCTGCTGATGTTTTGGATCCGCGCTGGGCCCCCCGGCGGCGCCCCCGGCGCCGCCCCTGGCGCGCTCCGCGCGCCAGGGAGGGGCGTCTTGCGCGGATCCAAGAAGTCCGCGCGGAGCGCAAAAAGTTTATGTTTATGGCGTTTTTCCTTCTTCTAAATAGGTGCCTGATAGCGCACCCCGATCAGGAATGTGCTGTTTCGCTATGGGGGGCCAGTCGCCGATCTGTCAGCGAGGTATCGCCGATTCCAGGTTGATGCTTCCGCCCCCCCGCCCCCCGAGTCCGTACCCCCCTGTCGTTACCCCTCAGGTCGCGGGGCCAACGAACTCAGACCCCCGACGTCGTGATTCTGTCACAGCGTGGGCCCTGGAGATCTCGGCCCATGTCCAGAGGCTGGCTTCTCATCCGGAGCTGCTGCTTTCCCTCACTCTTGGGCGCCGCGTAATGGGGGGGTCATAAATGGGGGGTGGCGAGCGTGGTCCGAAACGGTACCCAAACGGTACCTAAACGAGCCCCCTGGGGCTCTGGAGGGGCCCGAAAGGGAGGGGCACGAAAGGGGACCTTTTCTGACCCCCCCATTTGTGACCCTCCAATTAAGCCACGCCCAACACTCTGCGCTCTGGGCCCTGGCGAGTTCGCTTCGCGAGGCCGACCCCCCCCCCCTCGCAGAGACCTGCCCTCCTCCTCCTCCTCCTCCTCCTCCTCCTCCTCCTCCTCCTCCTCCTCCCTGCGCCGAACGGCGCCCACCCATCGGGCCTCCGCCATCCGCCACAGCACCTCGTTGCGGCCGGCGTGCCCCTGCCACTCGCTCTGCCTCCGGATTTCCTCCAGGGAGAGGCGGGAGGAGGTCGGGGGCGGACAGACCTCCTGCCCTGACACGTCGATTAAGGAATTGGCCGTTTTCGGTTCGCGAGAGGACGTGGCGGCTGTCGTTTTTGCGGGTCCAGATGCGTCGTTTTCGGTCCCAGGCCGCTTTCAGTAAGGGGAGGTTTACAAAAGGGAGGTTTATCCACCGCCGAGGAGGGGGCAGGCGAGCCGTTGTTTCGTGGTCCCGGGGCCCAGAGAAGGGCCCCCAGAGGCCGAAAATGTCGGGGGCGGCAAAGAGGGGGGTGATGACTAGGGGGGGGATATCATGGCGGGGGCCATGATATCTCCCCGGATTGTATGGCTCGTCTTCTTATTTCATTACGTCCTTGCCCTCCCCGCTGGGCCGCGCACATGCCGCCGGTCATGATTCTTAGGCTTACGCCACACCGCCGACCCCTTGTTTATGCCAATCTGGGGGTAGTAGAAGCTGCGAAGGGGTGAAAAGGCGAGTGATATTTGTTTGGTGTCTGTTCGCCGCCACCGCCAGAGGGTCTCGGGCAGTTCCGCGGGGAGGTCCGAGCGGACAGCGACACTGCGAGTTTTGGAGCCACTCGGGGGCCGTTTCGGAGCCTCTGGGGTGCTTCTTGGGGGTTCCTTGGGGCGTCTGGGCGGCCTCGTGAGGGCCTCTGGGGGCCTCTTGGGGCACTCTTGGGGCCCCCTGGGGCTCCTGGGGGCAGAAAGCTAGAGTTTCAACATGTTTGGTCGCCCTCTTGGGCCCCTCGTGGTGCCGTCTTGGAGCCCTCTTGGGCCGTCTTGGGGACCTCTTGGGCCGTGTTGGGGCCGTCTTGGGCCGTCTGGAGGCCGTCTTGGGGGCCTCTTGGGCCATCTTGGGGCTGTCTTTGGGGCCTCTTTGGCCGTCTTGGAGCGTCGGGAAGCCGAAAAGGCGGAAAAGCAAAACACATCGAAAAACACTATGGAAAATCAACAATTTTAGACTCTTGGGGCCCTCTTGGGAGGCTTGTTTGGGACCTCGGGGGCCGTCTTGGAGACCTCTTGGCCCGTCTTGGGGCCATCTTGGGCGTCTTGGAGGGGTCGTTTGGCGTCTCGGAGCCTTCGTGGGCCGTCTTGGAGGCCTCTTGGAGCCTTCTTGGCCCGTCTTGAGGCCCTCTTGGGCCCGGAAAAGCCCTGGAACCGCTCGTCCCGGCCGTGCTGCGCTCGTCCTGGCCCCCTCCCCGCCTCCAAATCGGCCCTCTTGGGCCGTCTTGAGGACCTCTTGGGCCGTCTTGGGGCCGTCCTGGGCCGTCTGGAGGCCGTCTTGGGGGCCTCTTGGGCCATCTTGGGGCTATCTTTGGGGCCTCGTCGCGCGTCTTGGAGCGTTGGGAAGCCGGAAAGGCGGAAAAGCAAAAAACGTCGAAGAACACTGTGGAAAATCAACAATTTTAGACTCTTGGGGCCTTCTTGGGAGACTTGTATGGGACCTCGGGGGCCGCCTTGGAGACCTCTTGGCCCGTCTTGGGGCCATCTTGGGCGTCTTGGAGGCGTCGTTTGGCGTCTCGGAGCCTTCGTGGGCCGTCTTGGAGGCCTCTTGGAGCCTTCTTGGCCCGTCTTGAGGCCCTCTTGGGCCCGGAAAAGCTCTGGAACCGCTCGTCCCGGCCGTGCTGCGCTCGTCCCGGCCTTCTCACCCCCTCCAAATCGGCCCTCTTGGGCCGTCTTGGGGACCTCTTGGGCCGTCTTGGGGCCGTCTTGGGCCGTCTGGAGGCCGTCTTGGGGGCCTCTTGGGCCATCTTGGGGCTATCTTTGGGGCCTCTTTGCCCGTCTTGGAGCGTCGGGAAGCCGGAAAGGCGGAAAAGCAAAAAACATCGAAAAACATTTTGGAAAATCACAAATTTTTGACTCGTTGGGCCCTCTTGGGAGGCTCATTTGGGACCTCAGGGGCCGTCTTGGAGACCTCTTGGCCCGTCTTGGGGCCATCGTGGGCGTCTTGGAGCGGTCGTTTGGCTTCTCGGAGCCTTCGTGGGCCGTCTTGGAGGCCTCTTGGGGGCTTCGTGGCCCGTCTTGAAGCCCTCTTGGGCCAGGAAAAGCCCCCTGGAGCGCTCGTCCCGGACCCCCCCCCCCCCCTCCAAATCGACCGGCACATGCCGCCGGTCATGATTTGCACCCCCCCCTTTTGGACACCCCCCTCTTGGCCGCTTCCCAGAAAATGGTGGTGAAAATGCCCGCCGTGCCGTCTGTGTCACCACGCGAGGGGGTCTGGTAAGGGGCCTCGCTGCTCACTCGGCCGCTCCCTACGGTGGCAGCTCTGAGCCGTGCTCCACGGCGCCGTAGTGCGGGTACATGCTGGTCGTTGCAAGTCTATCGGTACTTGGGGATATCCTGATCCCAATCTACTTCAAGTGCCTCCCTACTTCAAGAGTCGATAGTTGTTGCTGTGTGTTTTTTTTTTTCGGCCAGCCCACGCCAAATTTACTGAATCCGCCTACCTACTTCATAATTCCGCCTACATGTTTCCACCTACTGCTTCCGATTTGCGAGTATTGGACGGCCATCTGTTTGTCCAGTGACCGTTGCTGGAAATGTAACGCAAACTCTCGTTGGCAACACAATGGCTCCTCATGGTGTCGGCGTCTTGCCACGGATTCCGGAAATCGTGCTGCAGCACGCGAACGGATGTCTGTGTTTTCCCCACCCTCCCCCTATTCCCACTCATATTCTTCCTGATTCCTCCTTCCTCCTCCTCTTCCATCATCCTCCTCGTCCTCCTCCCCCTCCTCCTCATCCTCAAGTTCCTCTCGTTCCTCTCCTCCTCCCACAGTCAAGCTCCAGAATAAGGACCAACGACTTTCCTCAGGGTGCCCTTGTGTCCTTGCCTCTGCCCACCCTTCGCGGTTTTCGCTGGCCAGCCACTCAGCTTTGGGTTGGGCGACGTCCTTCGGAACGCTCACTAGGCGGCCAGGGCCCTTGCGTCCTTATAGAAGGCCTTGCGGCCAGTGCCACCGACCGTGAAGGGGGACGACGCAGACGACGACGGAGACGACGACGACGAGGACGCTCGCGAGACCTCTTGGGGTCCCGTGTGAGCCCCGTTGGCCTTGACAATGATGATCCAGACGCGCGTGCTGATGGTGAGAAGGGCCATGGTGACGGCGATGGTGGCGATGATTATGATGAAGTTGTTGATGATCATGATGATGTTGATAATGATGTTGTTGTTGTTGATGATGATGGTGATGACGATGGCAATGGCTACTTTGCGAACCTCGGTGCCAACTTACACCACAGAAGCAGAGACGCTCAACGCGACATTTCATACGTAACCGAGCATGGACAGATTGGCAATGCGATTCTTACGTGGCGCTTGTCATGACGCTTGCGTTGCCAGCACGGAGTAAGAGCGGTGCCTGAGTTAAGTGAAGAAGGTGGTGTTTGTCGTTGCACGCCCACTTGT